ACTCTTGGGATAGGCCGTAAGCATGGACGTCTCTACGAACTCATCCATCTTCATGTTCCAGATTCCTTTCAGATCACAGCTCCTACCACTGCTACCACTGCTCATTTTTTATCTCATTTTCAGCTTTGGCACTATCGTTTAGGCCATCTTTCTGTTGGTCGTTTAAAATCTTTAATTTCTAGTGGTCATTTAGGTCCTGTAAGTTCTGATGCTTTAGATTGTATGTCTTGTCAACTTGCCAAACAACTTGCTTTATCGTTTAATAAAAGTGACTCTGTTTCTCTTGCACCATTTGATCTCATCCATTCTGATATTTGGGGACCCTCTCCTATTCCTACTATGGGAGGCGCACGCTATTTTGTTGTTTTTATAGATGATTTTTCCCGTTTTACATGGTTGTTTCTTATGAAAAATCGTTCTGAGCTCAAACAAATTTATTGCAATTTTGCTGTAATGGTTAAAACACAATTTTTTAAACTATTAAGTTTTTTCGCTCCAACGATGCCATGGAATATAAAGATTTTGACTTTCTTTCATTCCTTCAGAGTCATGGTACTCAACCTCATCATTCTTGTCCCGGTACGTCTCAACAAAATGGACGTGTTGAATGGAAACATCGGCATATTCTCGACACTACTCGCGCTCTCTTTCTGTCTTCCTCTTGTCCGGAAAATTTTTGGGGAGAAACAGCTCTCACTGCTGCTTATATTATCAATTGTATCCCTACACCTATCATTCATAATCACACTCCTTATGAGCGTCTGCATGGCACCCGTCCCCCTTACACCAACCTTAGGGTCATTGGATCTGCCTGTTTTGTTCTTCTCCAACATCATGAACGTACCAAACTTGAACCCCATTCCCGCCTTTGTTGCTTCTTGGGGTATGGTATTGAACATAAGGGGTATCGTTGTTGAGATCCTCTCTCCCAGCGCCTCCGTATCTCTTGTCATGTGGTCTTTTGGGAACACAAAATGTTTTCCTCTCTCTCTCTCTTCCGTTTGTCCGTTCCTTCACCCTCTCTGTTTTTTACTAACCCTTCCACAGATCTATTTTCTAATGAGCTTACTCTACCGCCCCTGCCAGCCTCTCTTGAGACCGCCTTGCCTACTGGTCTTTCCTATGCACCTGTTCAATTTGATGTTTCTGCTCTTGCTCCCTCGAGATCCTCCCCTTCTGTTGAGTCTCTTCCTCTAGCTCCTTCTCCCTCTGCTCGACCACACCGGGTAACCCAACATTCTACTCGTCTTCGTGACTTTATTGTTGGTTCTACTGCTTTTTCTACTTATGAACCAACCTCCTATCGTGAGGCTCGCTCTAATCCTCTTTGGCAGCATGCTATGACTGATGAATTGCAGACTTTAGACAAAACTCATACTTGGGACATTGTTGATCTTCCTCCTGGCAAGACTGCGATTGGCTGCAAATGGATATACAAAATCAAGACTTGTTCTCATGGATCTATTGAGCATTACAAAGCCCGCCTTGTTGCCAAAGGCTTCAACCAAGAATATGGTATTGACTATGAGGAGACCTTTGCTCCTGTTGCTCGTCTCACCTTTGTTCGCAGCTTGATTGCTGTTGCTACCACCCGACAATGGGATCTTTATCAACTGGACATGAAAAATGATTTCCTTAATGGTGTTCTTCTCGAGGAGGTCTACATGTAACCTCCCCCTGGGTCTACTTATCCACCACATAAAGTTTGCAAACTTCAGCGTGCTTTATATGGTCTAAAACAAGCTCCACACGCTTGGTTTGCCAAGATCAGCTCTACTATTCATGAATATGGTTTCACCTCCAGCTCTTATGATACTGCTCTTTTTATCCGGAAAACAGCTCAAGGGACCACCCTGCTTCTGTTTTATGTGGATGACATGATTATCACCGGTGATGATATCGATGGTATTCTTCGCCTTAAACAGTTTCTTAGCCATCATTTCGAGATGAAAGACCTTGGTCCTCTCAGCTATTTCTTGGGTCTTGAAATCTTCCATGATTCCACGGGTTCTTTTCTCTCTCAGGCTAAGTATACCTTTGATCTTCTCACACGTGCTGGTCTTACGGATTGCAAGACTGCCTCTACTCCCCTGGAGCGTCAGAGTCATCTTACACCTCTTGATGACACTCTTCTCTCTGATGCTACCCTATATCGTCAGTTAGTTGGCAGTCTTGTCTATCTCACTGTTACTCATCCTGATATTGTCTATGCCGTTCATATTGTCAGCCAGTTTATGTCGGCTCCTCGTACCCCTCATTATGCTGCATTAGTTCGTATCCTTCGCTATCTCAAAGGCACCCTGTTTCACGGTCTTCATTATTCCGCCCGCTCCTCTCTCCAACTTCTTACTTTCTCCGATGCTGATTGGGCTGGAGATCCTACTGACCGCCGCTCTACTACTGGGTTCTGCTTTTGCTTGGGTGATTCTCTTATTTCTTGGCGCAGCAAGAAACAATCTCTTACTGCTCGTTCCAGTACCGAGGCCGAATACCGTGCTCTTGCTGATACTACTCATGAGCTTCTCTGGCTTCGTTGGCTTCTTGCTGACATGGGTGTTACCCCCTCTGGCGCTACTGCCCTCTTTTGTGACAATCACAGTGCTCTTCAAATTGCTCACAATGATGTTTTTCATGATCGCACCAAGCACATTGAGATTGACTGCCATTTTATTCGTTAACACGTCACTTGTGGTACTGTCCATCTCCATCTGATCTCTTTTGTTGATCAACCTGCTGATATCTTCACCAAAGCTCATTCTCATGGCCACTTCGTTGAACTTGTCTCCAAACTCCAGTTGGTTGATCTTTGTCCTCCTTAAGTTTGAGGGGGCTGTTAATATATAATGTATATATTAATGTATAATATATTAATGCAATCACTACAAACATACAACTAGCTATAGGATTAAAATAGGATTCCTCTTTTGGCCCATTTTTCTTTTATATGTTTTTCTCTCATGATGATGTTGTACAGCAGCTCCTATATAATGGAGACTCTCCTTACGAGGCTTTTCCCCAAATTAAGCCAAATTAGCAACTTAATTCCCAAACTAGGCCTAATTTGAACAGTATTCCCAAACTAGGCTAAAGCGCTATTACAAACCACGCTTTCACTGTTTCTAGGACCCTCCCGCGAAAAATTTGTGAAATAATAAAAGCGTGGTTACAAACCATGCTTTTAATTAAGAAAGCGTGGTTACAAACCATGCTTTTAAGTAATTTTTTTTTTTTTTTTTTTCCCAGAAAACGTGATTGCAAATCACGCTTCTACTGTTGAAATGCAAAAACGTGTTTTCAAAACACGTTTTCCATACAAACCAAACCAAACCACACTCTGACACACACACACACCCACACACACCCACAACACAACACTCATGCACATCACACAATATAATTGAAACAATATAATTTTTATATATAATAATAATTAAATATATATAATAATAATTTATAATAACAAATAATAATCAATTATATAATTTTTATCTTTTGAATGGTTGGAAATAATTTTTTATAAATTAAATTGAAATAATCATACGTATGTATATATAACCTGTCCAAAAGTTAAAATGATAATTAGTTTTTACCCTTAAATGATAATTATTTTTTATTTTTTATTTCTTAACCAAATTAATTTTTAATTTTTTTAAAAGAAATTCTAAAAATCAAACCATACATAACTTAAAAATCTTTTGATAAATGACTTACATACGTATGGTTTAAGGATAAAGATTTTGATAAATGACTTAAATGATAAATCAAACCATCTATAACTTAAAAATGATTTATATTTACAAAAATTATAAAAATTATATTATTTCAATGCTTGTGTGTGGGTGTGTGTGTGTCAAAGTGTGGGTTGGTTTTTGTTTCAACAGTAGAAACGCTATTTGCAATAACGTTTTCTAAAAAAAATAAAATTTATATGCACAATGAAAGCGTGATTTCAAATAACGTTTTCTTCACAAAAAAATTTTATGTTAAAAATGCGATTTGAAACAGCGATTTCTTAATTAAAAGCGCGTTTTACAATAGCGCTTTCACTATTCATCAAATTTTGGACTCCAAACAGTGAAAGCGCGATTTATAATAGCGCTTTAGCCTAGTTTGGGAAACCCGTCCAAACTAGGCCTAGTTTGGGAAATAAAATGCAAAAGAGGCTTAATATGAGAAAAGCCCCGTGTTTCCAATCAGCGCTTGGCTGTGCTGAATGCTGATACGTGTTGCGTTGTGTTGTGTTGCTTTGGCATAATTTTGGTTGAGTTTTTATATGTATTTTCAAATAATTTGAAATATTAAAATATAATTTTGAAATTAATTTTTTTAATATAAAAATTATATAGTTGATTATTATTTGCTATTATAAATTATTATTATATATATTTAATTATTATTATATATAAAAATTATATTGTTTCAATTATATTGTGTGATGTGCGTGAGTGTTGTGTTGTGGGTGTGTGTGTGTGTGTCTGTGGGTTGGTTTGGCTTGTATGGAAAACGTGTATTGAAAACACGTTTTTGCATTTCAACAGTAGAAACGTGATTTGCAATCACATTTTTTGAAGAAAAAAAAAAAAATTATTTAAAAGCGCTTTTACTATTTCACAAATTTCTCACGAAAAGGTCTTAGAAACAGTGAAAGCATGATTTATTATAGCACTTTAGCCTAATTTAAAAATTCCGTCCAAACAAGACTTAATTTGAGAATTAAGTTACTAATTTAATATGGGAAAAGCCCCTCTCCTTACCTCAATGGCCCTGTTTGATAGAGCTTATTTTTTTCATCTTTTAACTTAATTTAAACTATTTTGATGTGTTTATTTCAGTTTAATAATACAACTTATAATTTTTTATAAATCAAAAATTAATTTATTCTTTAAATAAGTAGAAAAAACTTAATTTATAAATCAAAAATTAATTTATATTTACAATTATAAGTTATAAATTGTTAACCTATAAATTATAATCACATTCCACGACTCTACAAAAGGAGCCAATATATTGAATGATAGAGTTTATTCTCTCTCACTATCCCTCTCTCAACTTATTTTACAAAGAAAATGCCAGGCTGTTTCGCCGCTGCGTTTTTGCCCTTCTTGGCGTTTTCCGCCGTGGTTTTCCCCGCGGCGGTGGTGCTCTGTGGGTTCCCGGCGACTCTGACTCTCGAAAGAGCTTTTCCGACGAGTCACGGTGTTGAATTGAGTCGACTCATAGCTCGTGACAGGTTAAGACACGATCGAATCTTGCAGTCTTCTTCCGGTGTTGCTGATTTTCCAGTCGAAGGCACCTATGATCCGTTCCTTGTTGGGTAATTCTATCAATTCACTCTCTTCTTTGACCTCATATTCGTGTATACTTCAAGTTATGGGTCTTTTTCTTTATATATAGTTGTGATTTGTGTTTTTTTTTTTAATCTAATATATCAGTTCATGAGTTTGGGTTTGATTTTCGAAATCTGGGTTTTCAATGTTGATTTGAGTACTTTCAATTTTATGTATGTGTTCTTTTTTTCTTTTTTCTTTTTTGTGTGTGTGGTGTCATTGCCAATTTTAGGTTTTGTGTTTATTGTTTTGTACCCTTTTCATGTTCTTTGTTCTTTGTTCTTTGTTGTTCTAATTTGGTGTCGGCTATATGGGTATTTTTTATTTCTACTTCTAACTGTGTCTGTTTTACATTTTGGCAATGTTGGTGGACTAGTGGTCCTGTTTGTTTTCCAATTTCTGTTGATTTTTCGCATTGGGTTTTGTTCTATTGTACAATCTCTTTTTGTTTGGATTAATGGGTATATCTAGAAACTTTGCTTTGATTATGTTTGTTTCTTATTGGGACTCATGTTTTTGTATTTTAGGCTTTATTTTACAAGAGTTCAATTGGGCTCTCCTCCAAAAGAATTCTATGTGCAAATTGATACTGGAAGTGATGTCTTGTTGGTCAGTTGCAATGCCTGCAACGGTTGTCCCACATCAAGTGGACTCAAAGTAATTTCAACTTTTTTGTAATGTTCATTGGTTGTCATGATTTTAAAACAATAGGTTGGGCCTTCTCAACTATGCAAGAAACTATATTAAGGATTTGGGCCGAATGTTGGACCAATTTACTGCTAAATTTCTCAATTTCATTGCTTGTTTTCTTGCAGATCCCTCTCAACTTCTTCAATGCTTCAAGCTCATCGACGGCTTCACTGATCTCTTGTTCGGACCAAAGATGTTCTCTAGGAGTTCAATCCTCAGATTCTGTTTGTTCGACTCAGAACAATCAGTGCAGTTACGCATTCCAATATGGAGACGGAAGTGGGACATCCGGGTATTATGTATCAGATATGATGCATCTCAACACAGTCGTTGGGAATTCATTGACTTCTAACACTTCAGCTTCTGTTGTCTTTGGGTGAGCTAGCACAAACTTGACAAATTGAAGATGGTATTTGTGTTCTTTTCCATTCATTTGTTAAACCTTGTTGCTTTGGTGGATTATAAAACAGTTGTAGCACATCACAGACTGGGAACTTGACAAAGTCAGATATAGTCGTCGATGGGATCTTTGGATTTGGTCAACAGGGCTTGTCGATAATCTCTCAACTTTCTTCACAGGGTATAACCCCTAATGCCTTCTCACATTGCTTGAAGGGGAATAGTGGCGGTGGTGGTATCTTGGTTATTGGTGCGATCATGGAGCCAAATATAGTTTATAGTCCACTTGTACCATCACAGTACGTTTTTCTATCCACTTGTAGCTCATTAGAGTTGCTGAAATTATCAAAATTTAGGGAATTTCATGAGCATCATGTTACCAGATTTTGACTGGATAAACTTCTCACAGTTAATAGGTTTCTTACATTAAAAATACCTCTTCCATATAGGTTCACCTTGCAAATATACTGTTATACACTCCACAAACTTTTTATATATGTCGTGTTTGATTCTTGTAGTTCTTTAATTATATTCTTATACAAGGATTTTTGTTTGGTGGAATATGAATTTCTTATATGATTATGGCTTCATTCAGTAGTTTTGAAATTTTAGGTCATTGACCAAGTCTGGTGTTGAATAAATTTTGTAGGACTCTGTATAGAGACAGATATCTGGAAGGCTTGGAAATTAAAAATTAATGGAAGAAAGTGATGGGCTGTTTAAGAACTGAAATTGCTTCTGAGCCGATTCAACTTGGCTCAAAGAGGCTTTGTTAGGCATATTGACCAATTAAATGATCTAAGATTGAGCCCTGGACTTTGGGTTCTATTTCTTATTGAGAAGAGCTTAAACCTCCCAAAGCTTGGCATAATAGGCTCAACTTGTTAATTGGTTTGTACTTACATTAATCAGCATTAACTGACAAACGTTGGATTCAAATTTCAAGTAGACTTGAATTTTCAAATTTGTTTGCTTAGAAAGGCAATCTTGGTCAATACTGGGCTTTGTTTAAAACAGACTGCAACCTAAAAAAAGTTTGATAGGGCATATTTTGCTTTAATGTGCTGCTTGACTTTTGTAAGTTGTGAAAAGTTGCCTAATCCGGGCCCAACAATTTGTTGTTGCAATTTTTTGGGGCCTAAAGGACTGAAAGTTCAACGTAGTTACTTGCTTTTCCATGGACTCAAACTCAAGATTTCTATTGAATTTCCAAGGAAATACGAAACCACAGGTTTCTGAAACATATAATCTTTAATGTTTGTGAATTTTGGCACGACTTCTCTAATGATATGTACGATATTAGGGTTTTACATATCCATGTTTGATTATTTATAGAAGCTTGAAAATTGGGGCAAGTGTATATATTGACTTTGCAGTTAAGTTGATTCAAGTCGACGTCAAAACTTTCAGGCCGCATTATAATTTGAATTTGCAAAGCATTGCTGTCAATGGGCAGCCATTAAATGTGGATCCCTCGGTGTTTACAACATCAAGTAACCAAGGAACAATAGTTGATTCCGGAACAACTTTAGCATACCTTGCCGAAGCAGTGTATGATCCTTTTGTCAATGCTGTAAGTCACTGTGGATCAATTAATTAGATTTTTTTTTTAATTAATAACAAGAACTTGTTAGATGATTGTCAAGCAATGACCAAGTGCAGTGTTTTTTATTATATGAACTCAATTTGAAATTTATATAATTTTCTCATCTGTTCAGATTACAGCGGCTGTTTCGCAGTCCGTGAGTCCTGTTCTTTCCAAGGGAAATCAGTGCTATCTAATCACATCCAGGTCTTTTTAAAAAGTTTAACATCTGAATTTTCATCTTAGCCACGAGCATATTGCTTCTATAGGGCTCGCTTTTTTATCTCTTGTGTTGACATTGGAAGTAAATTTTTTTCTTTCAGTGTGTCTGATATATTTCCAACAGTAAGTTTAAACTTTGCTGGCGGAGCATCCATGATTCTAAAACCTGAGGACTACCTTCTACAGCAAAATTCCGTTGTGAGTTTTCAGTATTAGTTTTCTGTTTCTGTTTTAAAATTTTTCCAGTAGTGCAGTTTGGATCATGAGTCTCTTTTCCACATAATTTGGAGGAATCCTCTTGAAAGATGCATAAGCCTTGTAACATTGATTTGAAAATCTTTTTCTTGTGTTTTGTTCTATCTTGAATATGATGCTCGGGAACCTGAGCTGCATTTATATGTAGAAGTGTCTCACCAATGAGAGGAAGGCATAAATGTTTAATTACAGAATGCAGTAATATTGGTCCTTTTGGGGCGCCTAATGAGTTTTTTTTTTTTTTTTTGTTCCCTATATTTTCATTTTTTACTTTTTACATTAGATTTGATCTCTGAAGCGCTAGCTAGCACGACCAAGATTGTAGCTAGGATCCTACCCCTGTTGATTCTTGTTCTACTTCCTAATGTTTCGGAATTGATGAAGAAAGTTTATTATTTAAAGAATCACTCACTGGAATGGCCAAATTTGTTTCTACAGGGTGGTGGTACATGGTGCATCGGATTCCAGAAAAGGCAAGGTCAACAGATCACAATTTTAGGAGGTATGAACACCTAAAGAGCTTTCTTTTCTTAGAGAATAAAAGAAAAGGAAAAAAAAAGTACGGAAAAGGAAGAAAGGCGATTCAGTTTTATATACTTGGTAGATTTCAGCTGAAGATGCACCTCACAAAAAAATAAAGAACAGAAATTCCATGCATAATATCCTTCCTGTAACATTTTTTTTTTCCCATCTCATAATAATTAATTATAAATATTTATCTACCCAGGTCCAGTTTGAACTTAGAGAAAAATTGCAACTCATTTGGATTGGGTGGATATGCCTACTTTTCTTTTTCAACATTTTTGCCCATTCTATACTGCCAGTGCTCCCGTATATCTATCTTTAGCATGTGATAGGGGCTTCTGCCTACCAGTTTTCCTCTTGCATTTCTTCTACCTGAATATCTTGTTTCTCAATTTCCAAACAATATTTGAGTACTTTTTTTATTCAGCATGCTATTCTTCTGGTTGTTGTATCTAATTGCTTAACATTTTCCGATCTTAATTGTTTGATTCTGTAATGTAGGCATTACAAATCCTGAGAATCTTTGTTTTGATTAGTGTAGGAAATAGTAGAGAACATGTTTAAGCATTACAAGACATGTTTTGAATCTACCATCCTAGATTCCTTTGCCATAATAATCTTATTATCTTATTGTCTAAATTGTAAGAGACCCCGTAAAATATATATATATATATATATATTGTAAGTTGTAAGAGCCCCAACAACAATTCAAATAAATTTTTGTGTGTTTTTTTTTTTTTTTTTTCTTCATGTTGTTTTGAAGCTTTAAAACATTGAAATTTTTGTTTTTTGTTTTTTTGTTTTTTTGTTTTTTTTTTTTCTTGAGGCCTTAAAACATTGAAATCATTATGTTTTTAATTTTTTTCTTCTTAATTTTTGCAGACCTTGTACTAAAAGACAAGATTGTTGTTTATGATGTGGCTGGCCAACGGATCGGATGGGCTAATTATGACTGTAAGTTTTGTTTAGATTTTTATCTCCAGCTTCAATCATCTCTCTTTATCATGTTAAATAGGTACATAGCAAAATTAAACTAATTTTACAAGATTAAGATTAAAGTTTTGTTGAAATCCTTGAATAAAAAAATTTCTGATTAAAAACCACCAAAAACTAATTTGGTGAAAAATCAATGAAAAATTCAAAATTCAAAAACACCCATAATTTTTGTATTGTTTTCTTTCTTGTCTTATTTACCAAACTGGTTTTAGTATTTTTTCAAAAAACAAATAGATATCATTTTGAGTCTGCAATTGAACTCCTGTCAAATACAATTATATCAAAAGGTTGATACTGTATCTTAACTACTTTTTTTTCAACTTAACCCCATTAGGTTCGTCGTCTGTAAATGTCTCCGCAACCACAAGCAATGGTCAAAGTGAATTCGTCAATGCAGGACAGATTGGCCATAGCAGCTCATCACGAAACACGCCTAGTTTCAAGCTGATTCCAAGCATCGTCATAGCTTTCCTCTTGCATATTTCAACTATTGCCACCAGTTTCTCATTTTTGTGACACAAAGTGCAAGAGGTTTGAGTTCTCGCCATTTTTTTGTTTTTGTTTTTGTTTTTTACATTTGTATAGCGCCTTGGCTGATCATTCATAGTAATCGGCAAGGCTGTATTATTTATTGGACTCCAGGTTTTAGCTGTTATTTTATTTTTATTTTTTTGGCATTAGATTTGTGGGTTGAGAGTTGTTTTTAGAATTTTTCGTTTATCAGCTATCTGTTTTTAGTGTTGTAGATTTACATTCATACAGGATTAATGTTACATTACCCTTGGAGCTGGAAGAAAAGGTGCAATGATTCATCCATGCATGACGCAAATTAAAAGATTATAAAGTACCATTGGAGCTGGAAGTACACGAGCATCAATGGATGTAAGTTCAGTCCTCACTTGAAGCCCAAATTCATTGACAGTGTTGTAGTTGTTATGCCTAACCATCTGCAAAGGATAACCTCATCTAGAGAAGGTGACATCAACAGAAACAGGAGGAAACAATTTCCCCATTTTTTTGAACCAACTTAAACTAAAAAATATATACCATGAAGTTCAAAAAACATTTAGAATTCTGACAACAAAACTAAAGATGATGCGAACATACATATACCTGGTCAATGCTCCGTTCTCTATCATTAGGACGTTGACAATTTGCCTTTACCAAAGCATTCACCTGCCTATCATTCAACCTATTTGAATATCTTTGCCCTGGTACAATCTTACAAAGCTGTAGAAAGAGAAAGCCAATGCAAATTGATGATACTACTAGAAGAAGCAACAATGACTGAAATGAAACAAAACTTAGATTGCCATAAACGAGAAAACCTCCATCGGTAGGTAGATAGGCCTAGAGTCATTGCCAGCTTGAAGCGCAGGCAGGGACGTTAAGTTAAGGGTGATGTCATATTTCTCGCGAAAGTATTGCACAACTGGCGTTTGTGTACCCGTATCACCAGAAGTAAACCTATTTGAAAAGGAAGTGCACATCAACCAAAAAAAAAAATATAAACATCAACAACAAAAAATAGTGTAAAATTCATTTGGTTTGAGGCCGAGCACTTTAGCCCCTCTATGGTTCAGATATGGCCAGAGCTTTCATGTGATTTTGGACCAAAGTGTAACTATTAACTTCGTTAACTACAGATGTGAAATGACTATAATTATGGGTGTGCGCGATGCAGATCGGTGCGGTTTGAGAGAAAAATAGAAACCGTATGGCGGGTGGTGGATTGATAAAAGTGTCACCAAAATGTCATTTTTCTTATCAAAAATCGGCGGTTCGGTTGGCAAATAATGGTGGATTTGCCTTGGCGGTTCGGGCGGATTGGCGGTTTATAAAAAATATAATTCAAATTACAAAACTTAAATCAAAGAGTAAAAAAAAGACGAGAGATACCGTGATGTTAAGCATCTTGCGAAGCTTTCTTCTGATGCAGCAAGTGTAGCAACAACATGATAATATCAACGACTATGCCATCAGTTCATTACAAGCATCTGTGGAAGTTACAATGATCAAATACAATACATAAAATTAATATCATTCAGGGTTTACAATATATTGAAAATGTTTACTGTTGAAAAGTATTTAGATTGAAAAGTGAGCTGATGCAAGTTTGCAACATGGCCAGAAAAAAAAAAAGATTGAAAAGTGAATTGGAATTCAACTTTATTTTGAATTACTGACATCTTGAATTTCCCTCGAGCAGTAATGTAATACTATACTGTAAGGTATAAAACAACAAGTAAACTTAAGTAAAAAAGAATTTTTAGAATTTTATAAAACATGATTTAATAGCGGTGTGGGCGGTACGGTTTGGAAGAAAAATAGAAATCGGCGGATTGATAAAAGTGTTACTAGAATTTGTCATTTTTCTTACCAAAAATCGACGGTTCGATTGGCAAATAATAACGAATTTGCCTTGACGGTGCGGTTTCGGCGGTATTATACACACTCCTAACTATAATACCCTTAAGCCTTGAGTTTTTTTTGTTATTTTATTTCTCTCTCCTCTCTCATCCACATAATTTATAATTCTTAACATTAATTCAATTAAATCACAATTAATCATAAATCCTTAATTATTTATTATAATTCCTAACTTTTTAATATAATTTTAATTTATTTATGTTTAGATCACAATTAATCCTAAATCCTTAATGATTTATTACAATTCCTAACATCTTAATCTAATTTTAATTTAATTTAATTATATTTTAAATCAATCCTTGGTTATTATTTATTTTATATTTTAATTTTATTTTATATTTTATATTTTATTTAATTATATTTTAAATCAATCCCCAATTATATTTTAATTTATTTTCTTTTAATCAACATATTAATGTAATTTTAAATTTGGAGAAAATAGGGATAAAATTATCTTTTTGTTGTGTTAATTTCACTTAATTTTTTTAGAAAACCAAATCCACTCTCAAAAATGGTGTGTGATTGGGAGAACTCTAGTTTGGATAAAAAAACTAATAGTGGAACTTTAGTTCAAAACTACATGAGACTTAAAATGTCATGGCCTCAAAAATCATGATGGGGTAAAATAAATTTTGCCCCAAAAAATAAGTGATAAAATCAGAAAAAAGACAAACATCAAATAAATGATAAAAATGCCACCAGTTTAAAAAAGATAGCCAATCTAAAGTGAATTGATGGAATTACAATATCATTTCCCCTTCTGGTTTGTTATCCATCCAATACATAAATTAACAAGAAAACAAAAAACAACTCGTGTATACTGCCTAAAATAATAGGCACTAGAAAAAAAGCAATTCACTTAACTATCAAACAAAGTCCTAGCCCTAAGCAAACATACTGCCTAAAATAATAGGAATTAGAAAAAAAAGCATAACAAAAGATGACGCACCACCCAAAACAAAAACCAAAAGGAAAAAAAAAATCAATTTAATAAATAGTTCGATTGCTTTTAACCCCATAATTTAAAGAGAAACATTAGGTAATTGAAATTTTATGAGAATCTCAAAAACAATTCGTTATCCATTCCTTCCACCTTAAACTCTCCTCAGGTACTTAAAAAAACCACCTAATATTAAATTTTAACAAAATTCAACTTTTTTTCAACAAAAGTTTTGGCAAATATTCATAGCTCAGAAATTTTGGCAAGATACAGGGTATAACTGGTACAATGATCTAAGCTTGCAGTTTAAAAATTGCATCATTTAATATTTTTTTTGATCCTTCTAAGGATTTGGAAAGAGAAATGGAAAATGTAGGTGAAATGTGAATAAAACATACCTATATTTCACCTAGTTTCACACACCTTTTCCCTTTCCCTTTCCAAATTCCTTCCCAAATCTCCCAACCAAACACAGCATAAAGGTTGTTATGATTTAGAATTCAGGATTCCCATTAATGAGCAAGGCAAGAATACTTCCCAGCTCCCAACTACTAAGTTATGGCTTTCAGATGTATCACAACGCACGAACATCCACCAATTTTGTGCTTCATCTCATTTATGTTATCCTTCTACCATTTTCTAACTTTATGTGCATTTAGTGAAGCTTTTCCCCCTGCTGCTATAAACCACACAACAAACTCACTTACGTAAAGAAAGACACAAAGATAAGTAGCTCACGTTAATTGACTTGTTGGTTGCACCGATACACCTGATATTTTGTGCTGTTTAACATCCTTGCTATGAATGAGTTCTACCTTAACCATTTTTAGAGCTTTCTTAACCTGGAATCACCAAAAAAAAAGGGTCATAATGGGTCAACTGTTGGGTAATGTGGCCAAGGAATATAATATGCAACGACAAAAGCGGATATAAATACATATTGACCAAAGTTATATAGGAGAAAATTATTGACGAGTTGGGTAGTGGAAAACAAACTCCATAAAAATTTCACTAGACCTTTATATTTTATCGTGACAACATAACATGCAAAAACCTCATTCTTGGCAAAATTTACTAGTGGCATTTTCCTTCACAGAAAATATAAATGAGCAATTAATTGTATGCTGCACTAGAAAGTTAGTGTAATACCTTAATGCGATCTTGATCAGAAAGAGGCCTTCTTAAATCTCTAACATTGCAATATCTCGCAACAAAGTCAGAAACTAGAATGGGTTCATAAAATGCTCTTGCTGAGATATCTGCAAGGCAAGGAAGCAACATAATCTCAATGGTGCATGTCAATAGCAAAACTACTGCTCTAAATCTAGAACAGGAAAAAAATTGAAAAGAAATGAAGGCCAACGATTAAAGAAATTCATGCCAATATTAAGGGAAAGACCCATTTGTGTTGGGCGAAGGCTTTGATAGCAACCTTTCCAATATTCTAAACCATCCTCAAGATCGCCTGTATCACCCAATTTGGGAGGGAAGAATGACCTTCCCACAACAGCATAACTGCAATCAAGAGTTTACACAGTTTAGCGGAGCCACCCTACTCCTTAACCTACATAAATTGATATGTAGAGGAAAATAGATAAAAAAAAATTACTAAATATATTTCACATCTCCCCAGGTAACCCTTGCTTCCTATTTTTGCTCATATGCAGGCTGCCTGCCGCTTTTGAATGAGATGTGAAGGCATAGGTAACAAAATAGGTAAGGGTAGACCTAAGCATGAAGATGTGCAGCTTGGTAGAGCATTTGTGTTGGCTACATATTTTGTACAAGTCAATTACAATTCGACGCGTGGCAAAGTAAAGGTAGTACGGGAAGACTATTCAAATCTTCGATCTTGATCGTACACGTGTCAGTTAATATTGGTTGTTACGAGATCTGAGTAGCAGTGGATCAGCAGAGAAATATAAAGTGAAGTGGCATCATCGGTTACTCACATTTGAATTCAAATTCAGGAGGGAAGCCTAACTGCAAGTGATGGCGTAATGGAGCTAATCTTGAGGCCATGGTTATCAGAATCCCGATCCGGATCTTACGATCCTACGATCTTACGATCTATTTGAGCACAATCGATCCGGATCGTGTAAAAAACTCCTTATAGGTAGGATCTTTCGATCCTGGTAGTGGGATCTTATAGGATCGTGGAATCCCGATCCGAATCCGATCCAATTTACAAGCCTTATTTTGTATTGTATGACATATTTTATTGTAAATGTTATGTTTGTTGTCTAAATACCAATTTATGTGGTCAAAATAAATAATAAAAATTAAGTCGTATTGAATCAAATAGATTAAGAAAAACAAACTAAGAAACAAACATTCAAATATTGCGGTAATTTAAGAAAATTAAATAGTCGGAAAAATAAACTTAGCTTTAGCGGAGTCTAAGGAGGGTAAGATGATTGCAACTTTATCTCAATTTTTGGAGAGATTATTTTTGTGACTTGAATCTGCTCCACTAGGGATGCTAACGACAAATCTTATCATTCGGTTAAGCTACTCTTTTGAGTTCTTAATCTATTTTCATATCCAACTTTATTAAATATTTTTTCTTCACTTTTTATGCATTATTGTAGATTGTGAAGTATTTTGTTATAGAATTCTTCTTCTTCTTCTTCTTCTTCTTCTTCACCTTCATTTTTGATGAAATACAAAACTTTTACCATCGAATTTTCTATTATATAATATTATATGTACATTTTATATGGAGTATTATATTTTTCACAATATCTTCATTTCTTTTTAATAAAATATAGACTTATTTTGTGTATACTTTATAAGAAATATTTATTTAAATTAAATTATTATGTAATTTGTCTTTTTTGATAGGATCTTACGATCCTCGATCCGATTCTACGATCCGATCCGATAAACACCTCCAACGATCCAACGTAGGATCCCGATTTTAACAACCTTGCTTGAGGCAATATGATCAGTGATCATGGAGGAGCAGTTCGACGGTTGGAAATACAGTTCGATGGTCATCCTTAAGCAGTATAAATAGTAGAGAAGGTCCCAGAAAAAGGCCTAGACTCAGATCAAAAAAATCAGTCTTATTATACTTTACTTAGTTTTACATGTCTTGTTCTTTACATTCCAGTACTTTAAATTCTGCACTGCACTTCATTCATAGGAGTAGTTTTCAAGTAGATTGTCGCTGTAAACCTCTACGAGGCTGAGTTTGAATCATTGTAAGTTTTTCATTCTAATGAAATGCTTCAGTTGTTCTTTATTTGATTGATATTTCGTTTAATTCTCCTAAATCAAGCCACCGGTAAAAGTCCTCTTCATTGAGGCTGAGAGAACTAAAACACAATCGTCTGATAATCGGTTGTCAATTAAATTTCTGTAAGGACTGATTGATCCTTGCTAGCACGCTTGCAATTACAATAATAACCTTCGAAAGTCAAAAAGCCAATATATATTTTTGGCACGCCCAGTGGGACCAAGTTGAAATGACTAGACGTAGGAGACAAGGAGAAAATGAACGCTTAGAAGAAGGTGTGGAAGGAGAGGTAGAGATACCTAATCCAGAGGATAATGTGATTACACATCCTGTAAAAACTCCCATTTTATCAGAACCTATGGTCGAACAGACCAGTACTTCAGAACAAATACCATATGTTCGTAATATTGGACGAGACCAAGGAATTGGACCATCCACTGTCCCATCTATTCAGCCAATGAATCCATGGGGTGGCTTAATAGATACAATGGGACATCAATTAATGAACACAATGGAAAGATGAGCAACGTCTTTTTTGGATCGAATGAATAACCACCAACTAACAAACGTAAGACACATGGAGGAAATTTCGAATGTCCCTCAGCAAAGATTGGCTAGAGATAAACAGCCTATGCAAGTTAACGAACATTCTAATGGTCAAACTAGTAATCAGAACTATGAAAGACCATCACTTCAGTCTTGGTACGGACTTGTTCCAAGGCCTGTAGTAGGTCAAAATGTCTCAGTACTTAACAGTGAAGCCATGCAGTTTGGTGGAACTGGCCCAGTACAAGAAAATGGTGTAAGAATGGTTCCAAATCCCATGTTCGAAGCCATACCTGGCACAAGGGGGTTCACTAATCCCTTATTCGAATTTATACCCAGGGGGTTGGAAGGTTTTCCTACAAATGGAAGAGACACAACACCAGTTCCAGCACCTTTCGCAGGTCCTTTCGTAGGACAAATTCAAAGGGGTTACCTACACCCCCAATAGCAACCTGCACCATATGGACAACCAGTCCCAAACATGCCACCTTATGGACTAAGAGGACCACAAGCACAGTTTGTCCACCAAATCTTGTGTTTGTTCTTCCAACAATGGTTCAGTAGGCACAAAATATGGTCCCTAGGGACCAAATTGCTGACATCGTTAGGGAGATGTGTGGACCAATGGCTCGGGGGGTCCAGACTCCTGTATACAGAAAACCATACCTAGAATGGGTAGATAGGGTACATGAATACCCAAGAGGTTTCAGGATACCAGATTTCGCCATTTTTTATGGGAATGGAAACCAGTCAACAGTAGAGCACATCGCTAGGTTTGCAGCTCAATGCGGTGAATTCACTAATAATGACTATATGAAGCTGAGACTATTCCCAAACTCTCTAACTGGGGGAGCATTTGTATGGTACATTAACCTTATACCTGGTTCAATCCAAACTTGGCAATAAATAAAAGAGGTATTTCATGCCCAATTCTTCCAATCGGAGCCAGAGGTTTCCATGGCAGACCTGGCAAGGTTGAGTCAAAGGCCTGAAGAGAAGGCTACTCAGTTTATTGCCAGATTTAAAAGGGCTCGAAATAAATGTAAAGTCATTTTGCTAGAGCCAGAATTCGTAAGATTGGCTCAAAATGGCTTAGAGTTTAGGCTTCGAAAGAAGTTTGACTCAACAGAGTTCAGGGACTTAGTGGAACTAACTTACAAAGTATCTAGGTATGAAGCATTACTAGAAGAGGAGCAAGATCGAAATAATGCATCATACAAGACATACTATAAAGATCCTAACTATGAGATTGATGCAGCAAAGATTGTGGGGAAAGAACCTGTGATCTGTGAAGCATTAATTCATAAGGATACAACAATTGACCAGCAGTTTAAAAAGAAAGACCTTCACAGGAAATACTCTTTCGATTTAACTAAGGCAGATGACATCTTTGATCATTTGCTTGCGGCCAACTTCCTTAAGTTACCAAAATGGGTTAAAATTCCATCTCTTGATGAACTTAAAGGGAAAGTATATTGTAAATGGCACAATTCTTGGTTTCACTCGACTAAAAACTGTGTTGTTTTTCGAGACAGGATCGAAGAACAAATTCGGAAAGGAAGTTTGAAATTCCCAACTAAAGCTGAAAAGGCCATGGGGATCGACAGTAATCCATTTCCAGAAATTGGAGAGGTGGCAGCCAATGTCATTATGCCGGATTTTTAGAACCTGTCTTTGAAAGAATTGGAAGAAGTCAATGTGCAGATGCATGTGGCCAACCAGACAGCTATCAAGAAAGACATTGAAAATCTACCAGCTATTGGACAGGGTTTCTCACACCAGAGGGAAGACTCTGAGGAAGAAGCACTAGATGACGATTCCTTAGAAGTAGCTGTAATGCAGAGGATGTGTCCTAGGTGCAGACTAAGCTACAAATGGTTGAAAGGACTCCCGATTGATGGGAATCAATACTACAAGGATGTGCAGAGACGTCCTAAACCAACCAATGCTCACAATAAAAGACCATATCCATTTGGTGTCAGGCACCAGCCATTGAGAGTTGAACCAACAGTTGACAGGATGCATTTCAAAGGCAAGAAGCCTTTACATGAATCCAGGCCAGCTAATTATTATAGAATGGAGATCAGTCATTCTGGGAGGAGATTGGAGAGAAGTTCAGTTTATGGGATCAAAGCCAGAGATTGGTCCCCTAGACCAGCCTCACGCAAGGCAGAAAGTGGACACCTTCATCGAAGGCCGGAGTTAGGCCTAGAGCATGAAGTCAGGACCAAGCAGTGGCCTTCGCAGCCAGCTTCGAGAAAGGCTTCGAAGGAAGAAGGAAGTAGTTCAATGGCAGGGTCAGTAGGTTCGTGGGTACCTGGGGTCCCAGACTGGTTTGTAATGCAGAACAAACCTAGGGAGATGTCTACCTAGAGAGAGGTTGCTGGAAACCAAAGTAGGATGGTCAAACCTTCTTTGGTAGCTCTAAACAATTGGGTCTTGCTTAAGCACCCAAAAACAAAGGAACCAGATATGATCCCCGTGATTTCTAGATCACAAAGGAGGAAAATTCAGCGTAGGTACACTCAGTACCAGTGAGACCTGAAAGAAAATGGAGAGAGTTCTTCATTGGTACAGACAGAAGGAAAGAAGAATCCAAAGTCAGACCATACTCTAAAACCAACTCTACAAGGCAAAATGGGTTGCAGTAGAGAACAGTTGGCCAAAGTTCGCTCTGAACTAAAAGCTAGAGAGAAGTCCAGTTTAGCGGGATTGGAGAAGGCATTGATGGAGAGTGACAGCGAGGCAGAGACGGAAGTTGGCTTAGGCCAAAAGGAAGAAATGGTTGAGGAAGAAATGTTCGAAGCCTTCATGGCTGAACAAACATTTCTGGTTGAAAAACCAGTCGTGACAGACCATTCAAAGGATGAAATACCAGAGAGCAGCATGGAGGATGCTTCTGGAGTGACCGAACAAGGTGGCCAAAAGGAGAAGCAGACACAGCCAGCCATCCAATTTGGCTCAGTGTCAGTGAACATGGTACACATACTACCGCATGAATTCCAAGCTGGAGATGAGAATCAAGAGGGGCAAGAAATTCACCCAATTCCAATCTCTAGTGAAGACTCACAAGTGAGTATGGTACAAGATAATTCTGGAATGGTTACCCCAATGAAAACTGAATATGAGAGTGAAGAAGTAGTAAGTATTAACCTCTCGTATCTTTTTGAATATCCCTCGAATTCTATGACACAACATGTTAGCCTTTTGTATATTAAGGCATTCTTCAATGGGATACAGTTGAACTGAGTCTTAGTGGATAATGGGGCAGTGGTGAACTTACTATCGAAATCTTTCTTGAAGAAATTAGAGAAAAGAAATCCCAGGTTAATCCCAACCAGTACAACCATTGCTGGTTTTGCTGGGGACAAACAGATGGCCCAGGGAATTTTACCCATCAACCTGAGTGTGGGAACCA